GGCTCTGCCAGTCCCCCCCAGGATGTCTACCAGGTTCCTCCCTCAGCTGGTCAGGCTCAAGAAATCTACCAGGTGCCACCATCATTGGACATGAGAAGCTGGGAAGGGCACAAGCCCCAGGGAAAGGTAGGATGGGGAGACTGGAGTGGGGAGTGTGTTGTGTTTGTGGGGTGATCTGTGGTCCATGGGTTCGAGTGGGTGGCGCAGCTTGGGCTTGGAGCAGGCAGCCTATGTGCCCACTGCTGGGGTTGTGTGGGCATCCTTGCCCACACTGCTGGCAGGAGTGGGTGCACTGGGAGAGTCCCTGCAGTGGTGAGGTGCTCCCGTTGGTGTGAGCTACCCCTCTTGGGGCTGGCACAGCATTTAGCACTCTGGTCCTTGTAATCTCTTGTGTGGGCTCTGCTGGTGTCACTCAGGGCATGGCAGTGTGTCTGGTATGGACACAGTGTTGGTAACCCAAGAGCTGTTTTGAGATGCCAGGTTCTGGAGCTGTGGAAGTAGCTGTGGTACCCAGCACAATGCTGTGAGGTTTTGTTCCTCCTTGGAGTACACACAGGAACAGACAGGCAGTGCCAGCATTTCCCGACTATGCCAGGCAGCCTGCCAGTACTTGCTAGGTACAGTGGTGAGGCAAGGGTGAGCCACCAGCCTGTCCCCAGCATGGAGGCTAACGGCTCCATCCCAGACACCAGTGTCCTTCTGGCTCTGCCCCTTCCCTGGCACGTCATCCTGGGGAAGAGGAGTGAGGTGCTTTCAGTATCGTGTTTTCTGGGAAAGCTATTCCAACTTATACCCCTGGGAAGCAGCCAGTGAGGGGAGGGAGCTGCCAAATCACAGCCAGGGCACAAGGAACATCCGAAAAGGAAGAACCAGCCCAACACCTCAGCCCTCCTTGGCACTGGTTGGGCAGGGTGCCATTACCCTCTGGATTTGGTTATTTTCTGCTCTGGTGTTGCCATGAAATGACCCACTCAGGCATGGAGCTGTGGGCAGGGATCTCCAGGCGTTGGCAGACCCGGCCCATGCCTGGATCGCCCGTGGCTTTCTGCACACCAGGGCCGTGCCGGCCGGGCTTTGTCTCTCGCTGAGACTCTATCGCCGCTATAAATAACCGGTGATATCATCCCGTCCCCAGCATCACCGCACACCCGGCCGGGGAGCGCCCTCCCGTGGCACCGGGCAGACCCTAATTCCAGGCAATCCAGTACGGAATCCAGCAACTATCCTCTCTCTGGCCCCATTGCTGGGTTTTGGAGGAATGATGCAGGGTGGGAGATGCTTGGTGGTGCCCACATCATGTCTTTTCCCTATTTCCAGGTGGTGGTGCCCACCCGTGTGGGCCAGGTGTATGTCTATGACTCCCCCAAGGCTGAGCAGGTTGAATATGATTTCCCTCGCCACCTCATCTCCACGGGCTCCCAGGAGATCTATGACGTGCCGCCTGTTCGAGGAGGGGTCCCGACCCAGTTCAGCCAGGAGGTGAGGTTGCTTCAGGTGTCGGGGGGAATCTCTGACTCTGCCCTTAAGAATGGGAGATCATCTATCACAGCCTGAGACTCATACCAGGCTAAATTGCACCCAAAACTGTACTTTATGGACCCCAGTGCTGTTTCTGAGCACCTCCACCTTTCCCAGCTGGTCCCTGAGAAGTGGTGGGTGGCCACACCATCTCTGACATACCATCCTGTGTCCCCTGCTCCAGGTCTATGACACCCCTCCCATGGCAGTGAAGGGTCCCAATGGACAAGACCCAGGGCAGGAGATCTATGATGTTCCCCCCAGCGTGGAGAAGAACCTGCACCAATCTGTAAGTGCTGCTGGGAAGCTCCCAGCTTCTTTGTATAAGAATGACAAACAGATTTTTACAGGGAGAAAAATAATTTACTAGATCAGTTTCACCACAGATCTGGTGATGTCCCTGGCACTGGAGGCTTTCAGAATTCCAAGGAATAGGTTGCTGGATGTTCATGTCCAGAAGATGAGGTTGGACCAGATGATCTTTCAAAGTCTCTTCCAACCTGGGCTTCTCTAGGATTTTTTGATTCCTGTCCCAGAGGACCGGGGAACCCCTGGGGTGTATGTTTCACCCCAGTGCCCACCCAGTGCCGTCTTGTATGCCCAGTGCTGGCTTTTTCATGCCCTGCAGCTCAGGGAAGCCGGCCTGCGTCTCCATGCCTGCCCCAGGCTGGCTCTCCCAGAAGTGCTGACTGCCACTGCTCTGCCCTTGCAGGTGTACGATGTCCCCCCATCAGTGAGCAAGGATGTGCCGGATGGCCCAGCACGGGAGGAGACCTATGATGTGCCACCCGCCTTTGCCAAGCAGAAAACCTTCGACCCCTCCCGTCACCCCCTCATCCTGGCCCAGCAGGAACCCTACTTGCCAGAGGATGTCTATGACGTGCCCCCAGCAGCTGGGAAAGGTGCTCCTGAGCTGCCACTCTCCCACGAGATCTACGATGTGCCCCCCAGCCTCAAGAAGCTGGGGGGATCCACCTTCCCCTCCCAAGAGGTGTACGATGTGCCCCGGGACCTGCATGCCCCAGGCAAGGGCTCTGTGGACACAGAGGGCGAGTACATCTATGATGTCCCACCACAAGTAGACCGCGAGGCCAAGGGTGCTGATGCCAAGCGCCTCTCGGCCTCCAGCACAGGCAGCACCCGCAGCAACATCTCCACATCCTCGCTGGACGTGGTGCCTGTGAAGGAGCCGGCTAAGGGAGCCGGCAAGGAGTTCTCCCTGGACTTGGATGCCGCCATGGAGACACTGGCCAAGCTCCAGAGTGGTGTCAGCAGCGCTGTCTCCTACCTCATGTCCTTTATTAGCACCAACTGGCGCAGCCCTGAGCACATGGAGGTGAACGCTGCCAACATCCGTGGGGCAGCTGAGGGTGTCCGGACGGCCCTCCGGGACCTGCTGGAGTTTGCCCGGGGGGCAGTGGGCAATGCTGCCCAGGCCTCTGATCGCTCTCTCTACACTAAGCTCAGCAAGCAGTTGCAGAAGATGGAGGAGGTCTACCAGGCCCTGGCACGGCATGGCCAGGCGCTGGACGCTTGCCACTGGGCCCCCAGTGCTCTGGCTAGCAGCAAGCCAGGCACAGATGACTTGGAGCACTTCATCATGCACTCACGTGGTGTTCCTGATGACACCAAGCAGCTGGCTTCCTTCCTGCATGGCAATGCCTCCCTTCTCTTCAAACGGACAAAGCCGGTGGTGGAGAGTGGTGGCCATGGGCCCCCTCACCCCTCCGACAAGGCCAGCAGCATCCAGTCACGGCCCCTGCCTTCCCCACCCAAGTTACTGGCCCAGGAGTCACCTGATGGGCCCTACGAGAACAGTGAGAGCGGCTGGATGGAAGATTATGACTATGTCCATCTCCAGGTGGGCATGGGTATGGGGGCCGCTTCCCACAGGGAGTGTTATGATGGTGGCTTCCTGGCACAGTGGGATGAGGCAGCTCTGCTTCCACTTATGTTTTGCTCTTACCCTTCAGCTTGAGGGCTGTGTGGACCAGGGATGTCCCAGGGCAGGTGGGGGCTCTCTGGCAAGGCTGATGTTGTTGACCCCCTTCCATGTCATGCCCCTGCAGGGCAAGGAGGAGTTTGAGAAGACCCAGAAGGAGCTGCTGGAGAAAGGCAACATCATCCGGCAGAGCAAGGACCAGCTGGAGCACCAGCAGGTAAGGGCACAGGGGCAGGCAGGTGGGTGCAGCTGCACACAGTGCTTGGGGCACACAGGGCTCCATGTCTTGCTTCTCTTGTAACCTCTGCTGCTGGTCTGACCATAGCCCTCTTCCCTGGTTGTTCCCATGGTGCATTCTACCTTGCCTTCCATATAGAAGTGTTATGCCAGTGAAGAGGGGCATAAGCACCTTGATCCTGGAGAGGAGCCTTGTACAGCTGTCCTGGGGCTGGTGCTGTCCCTCACTGTGTTCCCTGGGGCTGGAGGCAATGGCCACCTGTGCTGGTGGCTCCACGGAAGTCAGCAGATGCTGGCTCCGTGGTCACCCTGGCCCACGCCTGTCTCTCTCACAGCTGAAGCAGTTTGAGCGGCTGGAGCAGGAGGTGACGCGCCCCATTGACAACGACCTGTCCAACTGGACCCCCCCCCAGCACTACAGCCCTGCGCGGGGCGGTGGGACACTGTGTCCTGCTGACCGCCAGCTCCTCCTCTTCTACCTGGAGCAGTGCGAGGCCAACCTCACCACGCTCACCAATGCTGTCGATGCCTTCTTCACTGCCGTCAGCACCAACCAACCTCCCAAGATCTTTGTGGCTCACAGCAAGTTTGTCATCCTCAGTGCCCACAAGCTCGTCTTCATTGGGGACACACTGTCCCGCCAAGCCAAGGCCCAGGACGTCCAGCACAAGGTGATGCACTACAGCAACCTCCTCTGTGAGATGCTCAAGGAGATTGTGATGACCACCAAGGCAGCTGCCCTCCACTACCCATCTCCTGCTGCCTCCAAGGACATGGTGGAGCGCGTCAAGGACCTTGCCAACAGCACACAGCAGTTCAGGATGGTGCTGGGCCAGCTGGCAGCCATGTGATGGCCTCAGGGCCACTGTCCCCTCTCTCTGGCCCCCATTCTTCCCCAGACATGCATTTCCCTCCATGCAAGTCCTCTCCGCTCGGTGTAAGCAGACATGTACATAGAGACTCCCATGCACACCGGGGGGCTGGGACTCTGTGGGAACAGAGGTGAGGGGCTGCAGCCATCATACCCCTTCCCTCTGGCTAGGGGCCAGGAATGGTTTGAACTGTGCCCATAATGAAGCAAAGCAGGGTGGTGGATCTATGTCCACTCCTTCCCTACTGTCCTCTCCATTCAAAACTGGCAGCCAGTTCTGGGCTGAAGGGCATGGGGCCATGTCCCTGCTGAGGCAAAGATGTGCCTGGCAATTGGAGATGCTGTGGCTGCTCTGCTCTCTGGAGGACTCTACCGTGCACTCTGGAGAACTCTGCAGTGGCCAGAAGATTCTAATGATGTGGAAGCCATCCCCTGTGATGGAGGGACAGTGTGACAGAGATGTGTTGTACTGTCCCCTTGTGTGCTGGAGGCTGGGGCTAGGGGTCCCCAGAGGAGTAAGGGGGGTGGGGAGCTGCTGGGGTGAGAAGGGGCTAACCTGTGCGTTCTCACGTCTCGGGTTGTGCTACAGTACCAGCTGTAACCGAAACGCGAACCAAAATTGGTGCCTTTTGAACACAGGGGAAGCTTCTGCTGGTTCCCGGAGCTACCAAGTGGCAGCCCCCTCCAAAACTTGGCCCCAAGTCCCTCAGCAGTATAAAGATTTGCCTAGAAACACACCTTATCTCCTGGGTTATCTGCATGTGCCTGCTGGGGTGAGGGAGTGGCCCTGTGGCAGGGCTGGGGAGATCGTGTCCTCCTAAAAGATCTAGCCGTTAGAGACTGCTGGTGCACAGAAGGTTAATGGGGCACAAGGGATGGGCCTAAGAGTCTGGGGGGAAATGAGGGATGGCAGTGCAGGGCACTGGGGTCACACAGGCCCTGAAAGAGTGTGGGGTCTGTATCCCTCATAGCACCTCCTCAGGGGCCATGGCCACCATAGGAGCTATGGGTTTGGTGTGGCAGAGAGGATGGTAGCCCCCAACCCCAAGCATTCCTGGTCCTGCCTATCCATCCCTTGCAGAACCTCGGGAAGCATGGCACCCTCAGTCCTAGAGGTACCTCTGCTACTGCCCTGAAATGTAGCAGACCTATGGACACCCCCCAGTCCACAGCTCCTCAAGTGTGTCCTCATCCTGAGCTCTTCCAGTGTTGTTGCTTCATGACCTCCCTCATGCCCACGGTACCAACAGGAAACCAGAGCCCGGTGCCACGCAGGTGCTTATTGAGGGCCTTGCGGGTGACACCGGGCTCCACGGTCACCGAGAAGTCCTCGAGGCTCAGCTCGGCGATGGCGTCCATGCGGCTCAGGTCAAAGCAGACGCCGCCCTGGCACAGGGGCACCCGAAGCTCTGGGCATGGCCGGGCACCGAGAGCCCCTGGGGTGTCAGAGGAGCCGGGGGAGCCGATACCTGCACGGCATTGACGCCTCCTTCCAGGCCCGTACCGGTGCCAAAGGGCACCATGGGCACACGGCAGCGGTGACAGAGGGCTGCCAGCTCCTGCACCTGCCCCACCGCCCGGGGCCACACCACGACGTCCGGGGGGGCACAGCTGGGGGACAGGCAGCACCTCTGACCAACTGCTTTAACCGCTGGACCTTCCCCATGGCCCTTCCCAAACCCGGGACTTGTCACATGCCCCTTCCTCTCCCCATGGCCCCTTTGTCTACCCAAACATTTCCCACATCCCTTCCCTATGACCCTTCCCCTCCCCAGCCCCCTCCCCAGGGGCCCCAGCTCCAGCGGCACTCACGGGTGCATGGACTCATCGTGGCCGTGCTGCTCCCGCACCGCTGTGGCGGTGGAGACATTGGGGGCCCCAACCACGGCCCTCAGGGTCTCCACGAAGTCAGGGGACAGCGAGGGCTGCGGGGGGCGACAGGGAGGACCCGTCAGGGATGCACTGGGGAGGGTCTGATCGCGGCCACGGGCCAAGGGCACGAGGCCAAGTGGCCACGGCAGGACCCGAGTGCCCTTCGGAGCCGCGGCCCCACCTTGGAGCAGCAGCTGCGGCGGCCCAGGGCTGCCCCCAGCGCCAGCACCCTCCGCAGGGCCATGTCGCGACGGGACAAGAACGGCAACATGGGAGCTGCACAGGAGCAGGACATTGCCCTCCCTCGCAGCCTGTCTGGCCCTCCCCCACACCGACACCTTAAGGTGGCTCCGGCCACACGCGAGTGTGTCCCTGGCGGAGGGACCTGGCTCCCACCGCTGCCTGTTCTCATGTTCCCATGCCGTGTCCCGCCTGAGCGGAGTCACCGCGTTCACCATGGCCCCCGTCCTCGGCCGGGTGTCCCCGTGCCTGCTCAAGTATCCCCGCAGCTGGTCGGGGGCCACATGTCCCCGTGCTCCTCCCCTCCCAGACAGGAGTCCCCATATCCCCCCGCCCATCTGTCCCCATTCCCGAGCAGGCGTCTCCATGCCTCCCCCCGCCCCCGTCCCTCTGTTCCCATGCGCAGCCAGGTTTCCCCATTCCCAGCCAGGTGTGCCCGAGTCCCCTTGTCCATCTGTCCCCGTTCCCAGCCAGGTGTCCCCATGCCTCTCAGCCTTCCTGGACAGGTGTCCTCATGCCCAGACAACTGACCCCAGCCCTGCCCCAGCACGCCCCCATCCTCGGACGG